TTCTGCAGCTATGAAAACTGTACTTCAATGGTTAAGAATTGAAGCTGTCGTGTATCATTCAAAATTTGCATATTCTAAATAAAAAAAAAAATCATAAAAACGGTAAAACTCATGAATATTCGAATTAAAAATGATTTTTTTCTCAGTTTGATACTTAAAAACTACACATTTGGCCTATGTATAATTTGCGTAAGACTTTCCCTATATAAGTCAAATGTTCTTATTTATTTCAGTTACATATGTGAATTCGGCAAATTACCAAGCGTCTATTACAACGATAAAAATGAGACAATATCCACTATTGATATTTCTGGTGGTTTTGTTATTTGACGAGGTAAAAATGACGTAAATCATTTTTAGAATAGAAATATTTGTGTCTTCTGCTTTTTATTATTCGAATAGTACCACATTAAAGGGGTTCTGGGGCAAACTACGTAGTACGTACGAGACAATAGTAGATCGATTTAGTATAAAAGCTAAAGCAAGCAACCCGGCCACAAATATTGATTGGAAAGAAAAACTATTACCTCTATTCACACTTCAAGTTGCTGAAAATGTGTTGGATGAAACATTACAACCGCAAAATATATCGCATATTTCAACTCCAGTGCTTAAAGTATTTGATGCGGTAGACCAAGAGAGTATTGTAATACACTCTGTCGCAGATTTTAGAGGAATTTTGAGAAATCAGCACAGCGTCAACAAGTTGGGTGATGAAATACGTGCCATCTTTGCAAACGATTCGATAGCCTCGATGAGCATTTTTGCCGATTTGGAATTCAGAAGCAGAGAAAAAACCGCACTTACGAAATCCCATGTAAAAATGGTTGAAAGAAATTTGGAAAGAATGCAAACACAATATAACGATTTCTCCGAAAAAATCATGAATGTATTGAATCAAGTGAAATCAGCAAAAGAACTTTTCACAAAAGCAACCACATCACTTGTTGATAGATTCACTAATATTGAAAATCCAAATAAGAATCTAAGCATATTGGGCGGCATCATATCTAGCTATCGAGGGGCACAGACTTTGGTTTGGGATCATTTGAAAATGGTTAAAGATTTACTAGTGACAGAGTATAATAAGCTTCGTAAACTATGGATCGAATTTTTATTGGCCATTCGACTTGCACTTGACACAAATCCACAACAACTTCAGCACAATGATCGAAAATCGAAATCGCTGCCAACGGGTACGAGCTCGGGGTTGATGGGAAAGCAATTGAATAAATTAACTAAAGTGCTTCGCAGAAGTAGATCATAAATATCGAAGCATCGACACCACAATTCTTTCATTACTTCCAACTTATTGAATCGAATTTGTGACGCTTGTTTAATTATTCTTAATAAATCAACGTTTATAATTCTTACCTTGCAGCTTTACTTTTACCTTTTTCTTTCAATTATGAACAAAGCTTGCGGAAATTCATGTCTTGATATTCAATTTGTATTGGTAGCAATGAATTTCACACGAATATCGTATTGCTGGGTTAGAAATGTGTTGCATATTCATTATTGAGATAATAAATTATATTTTTTATAAGAATAATTGTTGACGTCTTTTGAATGACAATTTGATAAAAAAATTCGAATTGACGTGACAATTGAAACATATTTTGAATATTGAAAACTTAAATGTTTTTTTTTGCAACTTTTCAAGAGAAAAGCACATATTCTAATTTAACTTCTGCGCACATTATTTGATAGATAAAACTTGTGTATAAATGCTCATGATCGTAGACCAACCTATTTCAGTTAGATTTCGATTTTGGTTAAAAGCGATTGCATTGTGCGATCCATCTCACTGAAATAATGAAGCCATTTTTACTGCTTATATGTTTGGCAATATTTATATTCAACGAGGTGATTTACTTTAGTAATAGATAGTATTTTTTTCTTTAAAGTTGAAAGTTTGGTGGCGAAATTAAACGAATGAATATTTTTATTTATTGTCCATGTCATAGACTCTATGAGTGTGGGCCAGTTTTATAGGCCCGATACCAAGTAATTGATTTCTAAGACTAATCAATACCGATAATTGGTGATTGGATGTCGGCCCGACATTGTCGGGTATCGGTCAAAATTGCAAACATTGTTGTCTCTCGAACAGAGTTGTTATTGGCACCGGACACGTGCAAGCACTAGCATTCCTGATGATTCTTCAAGAGTCGCACGTGAATACAAGAAAGAGCAGCATTTACACAAAAAGTGCCCGCGATGCCAATAACATCTCTGCTATAGAATTGGAATTGATTTGTTGATATAGTTTATTATTGATGATTAATTGAGAATATTTGAAAATTGGAAAAAAAAGAAAGGAATACACTTTAGCTTGTAATATTCCTTAGTTCAATAAAATATTTACACAATCTCTATATTTTTATTTCTACCAATTAGGTCTCCAGTGAAGTTACGTACGGAAAATTAGTTCAAACTTTTAATGACAAAGCAAAAAATGTCAAAGAAATCAAACAAGCCAATTGGTCAAAGGAGTTAACGCCACTATTTACAATCTATGAAAAATTCACCGAATCTTTAATTGAGAAAATATTTCATTCCTTCATAATTGTTAACTTGCAGAGTCCCATAGACAATTTCCTAGAGCAAGTGCCTGAGAATAATGCTGATGCTTTGGCAATTGTCGCATACACTAGAACAGTTTTGATGAATCAAAATCAAGTAAATAATTTATGTAGTGAACTAAGTTCTAAACTCAGACACGATACTGTATCGTCAATTCCGCCACCTGTTGTTGTCGAATACCGAAACCGCGAACATATTCCATTGAACCAAACGCATGTGAAAAAGATTCAGCAAAGCATTTCATATATGCACAAAATTCACAAAGATTTTAAAACCAAATTCATAGATGAATTGAATAAGGCAGACGTCGCAAAAGAAGTTTTTGCATCCGAAACTGGTGCCGTCTTGAGTGCATTCAATGATGCTTCGACTAGTAAATTAAGTAAACTGAAAGGCGCTATGTTACATTTAAAACAGTCTCAGGACCGAGTTTGGAAACTTCTAAAAAATATTGAAAACATTTTAATAAAATACAATGCACAGCGCAATGCATGGGCCAATTTTCTATCAGGAGTTGAAGGTTATCTAGTCAGTTAGAAACAATGTAATTTGTCATAGAAAAATAAAAAAAAACTTTAACAATTATTTATTCATTTATATTCTTTTTGTAACACAAAACGTATAGTAAACAGAATTCAGTCTAAATGTGGATGGAGTTTATTGATGCACTAAAATATTGGAACTTACTTGAAAATCAAGTTACTAGTCCGAACAAAAAATGGTCCCTAAATTTGATAGTTACGACATCTTTTACGACGTAATCGTATTGATTTGCCAAAATCACAATAAAACGTTATACTATGTTCACAACTATAGGCTTTTATAAACAATGCTATTGTTGTTGTATACATGTGACAGTCTGAATATTCTGTCGCTGACACAAATAACTTACTTGTTCTTGTTGTACGTATACTGTATTATTACGTCAATATAATAATTTTATAAATTGTATATTTGAAGGAAATTTTTGTGAAAATTTACGATGTCGCGATGATGATGCTATGCGTAGCAACGATAAATATTTGTTTTTTTTAATCTCCTGGGGATATGTGCGCATTACACACTGTTTTAAAAACAGATAGGTAATTTCGGGTAATTTTAATACAAACCCGTGTACAAAAAAAGTGACTGACTATTTTGGGACAAACTGACCGACTATTGATTGTAAAAACAAGTAACCTTTGCTAAATTTAGTTAAATTCAATCAATTAAAGTAAGCTTTGGTTAACTGCAACAGCTTACTATAGTTGACAATAATCATAGCCACCCGATAGTCAAGACGTCCCAAAATAATTGCCTGGCTGACTGAGTAACTATAGTCGATTGTTTTCCATACAAAATTTAAAATTCATGAAAATAGCTAACTATAGTCACTTATAGTCAATAGTAAGTTACTATTAGTAACTTAGCCACTTTTTTCCACCCGGGAACAATAAAGTTTCATGACAATTATTCAAGGAATATTTCTATTAAATCAACAACGACTTACTGAAAGCAGTTGTTCAATGAACATATTTTAATAACTTTATATTTTCATTTTTTTTTTTGCTTCGTTTTAGAAACATTTTTTTTTGCAAAAAGTTTTTTTCTATATAAAACGGCTCAAACATACTATACATTGCAGTTAATTTTAAATTTCAGTCGAATACAAAATAAAGTTGAACCGAAACGATGCGACAAATTTTCATTGTAATATTCCTGGCGATTTATGTGTTTGAAAAAGTAAGAGTTGCTTCAAATGATTGAATATTCAATCATATTTTATTGTACAATACATTAAAATCCAAAATTTGTCCGTTTCTCCAAACAGGCATGTGGAGAAGTGACCTACGCCACAATTATTGATAAATTTCATCGTAAAATAGACGCACTTGATCGAGAAATAAAACACAATTGGATTGCAGAGCTTACACCGTTGTTCTCACTTTTTGAACGACTTCCATATCTTGAACCCATATTGGGCGAACGCTATATGATAAATAACTTAGAAACAGCTGTAGATGCGGCTTTAGCTAGTCTTTCACCAAAAGATAAAACAGCTTTACTGGTGCGAAATGACATCAAGGAAATCATAGGAAACCAATGGAAGATAAACGAGTTGGGTGCTGTTATTCAAAAAAATGTCCAATCGTCAACGGCCCACTCACCATTTTACGATGAAAGAATATACAGAAAATTTGAATTTAAAAAGATCGAAAATCTATTCATATTAAAAGTTGAACAAAAATTAGGCATTATGAAATCAATTCATAAAGATTTGCACGATCTTTTCGTAGATGATGTGGAAAATGTGAGAAAAACAAAAGCAAGTTTTGCAAATGAAACACTTGCAATTTTGGATACATTCCAAAATTGCAAAAATCCAAAGTCAGAAGTGAAAGAATTAAAATCGGCAATAGATCACTATAAGAAGATACAGGACGATGTATGGAAACATCTTGTAAATGCTGAAAAAGTTTTGGATGAGTATTTTCGTCAGCGCTATTTATGGACAGAATTCTTATTGTCATTCAAATCAGCAATTGAAAAAAGGCCAATGGTACTGCAGGAACGAAAGCCAAGAATATTGGAAATGGGAAAGAATCAATTTCGGAAAATTGCCGGAATTGCAAAGGAATAATAATTTCGATTTCAATATTTTTTAATATAGTATTTTCCAAATCGACTTCAATCATATTGTGTTAATACATATTATATAAATATTGTACAAATATCAAAATAAAGAACAATACCAAAAGTTTCACAGTTACATAGTTTGTCAAACTCAAATGTGAATTTCCTTGGCAGTGACAGAGAAAACCATATAGATTTGATAAGGTCCTTTTGTCCGTTTTATTTTATATCTTTTGCTCATCAAGATGAGCTCATTCAATTATTTTTGCCGCTCTGACATTAACGTATGAAATTTTCGAACAACCATTTTTTACATTCTGTTAAGGTAGAGCTCATACAGGCTAATATTTTATTTACAATGAAATCAACGATTGGAAACGCTGTAGTTAAGTGTTTAATTGAGGAGGGCGTCGCCACCGTCTATACATACAAATGTCCATTTAAATCAGCGCCATCTACGCTAAAACATACTTTTGGTTGAAAATAAAACGCCATCATATTCCGACATTGACTGAAATAAACATTCGCCTAATAAGTCGAAATAAAAATGAACACAGTGGGGTTCCACTACAAACCGCTAGATCAAATTTTCTAATTTACGGAAAGTAACAAAAAAATTTATCCGAATTTGAACAATTCGATATTATATCATATAATTTATATGTGAGGCGTAGAAGATACCAAAATGTTTGTTTACGAATTTTTCAAATTTTGCGGATTCATCTAGACACTTCAATCGAATTTATAATTATTATTTGATTAGTCGCGAAACTGAAAACAATGAAAAATTTACTTATTTTGATGCTACTGTCGATTTTAGTCGATAAGGTAAAATTGATTCAATCGATAGAAATCAATAAAATCAATAAAATATTTGTTTATTTTTTGTACGCTTTTCTGTGAACAGATTTCTGGGACGATAACCTATAAGACAATCGTTGAAAAGTTTGCTGAAAAAGCAAGAAAGGCAGACGAAGGTGTAGACGTCGATTGGAAATCAAGGTTGGAGCCATTGTTTATACTCTGTGATGACGTCACAGACAATATGATTGAAAAAGTCTTACATTCGTACATAATAATTAATATCGAAACACCTATAGTTAATTTACTAAAAAAAGTCCCAAAAAATAGTGTTGTCACAACGATTCTCGCTGAGACGAAACATATTTTAAAAGTTCAATGCGATGTGAATAAATTGTGCACCAATATCAGTAGGCAAATTAGAATCGATTCAACTGCTGTACAACCAATTCATCATCCGGATAAAGTATATAATGCTTGGCAAAAAACAAGTCTTGATCCATTGCATGTGAGAAACATTGAACAAAGCTTACCCATTATGGAAACCATTCTTGAAGATTTGCATGACGAATTCGCAAGATCAATGAATGACGTGAATGCAGCTAAAGAGACATTCAAAACGAATACGCAGAAAATTGTGAATATATTCAATAATTGCATAGATCCAAAAGACAAACTGAGCAGTTTGAAAGAAATCATAGTTCGATATAAGCAATCCCAGGAATTAGTGTGGAATCGTCTTAAACATAGTGAGGAAGTCTTACGGAAATACTATTCACAGCGCAACGCATGGGCTGATATTCTTATGGATAACAAAGGCTACAAACAACATTAGCTTACATTGGTTTCTTCTAAAAGAAATGGAAATAACGATATTTTAGTTCATCTGCTGAATTTATTTTGATAAAAAATAACTAGATAAGATGGGTTGTTAATTTCATTGAAACAATTGCTTAAATTTATCTCAATATCCAAATGTTTTTTTCAAATAAGCTCGCCTAGCTCAAGAAATAAAATTTCTCAAATATTTGTCACTTGTTTTGATATTTTTGTTTTTGAAACAAGTAGAAGATTGTTTTCGATCAATAATTTGAAAACGTTTCACAGGTGTTCAGAAACTAGCTAGGACAATCTCTAGACTTTTCCATTGTTGATACGATCTACGGCAGTTGACGTAATAAATGTTTTTCGAAGCACCAGAGAAAGGGGATCATTTTTACAACTCCTAAAAAATTCGACATTCAACATTAAACTCTTCAGTATTCAACTTTTTAAGCTTCTTTAAAGATTTGAAAAAAACTAGCCCTAACCCCAAAACAATAACCCCCATTTCATGTCACCGAGTTGAGCACCAATTTACATTTTTTGGCACTAAATGGTACCAAATCTCTATATAGGTTTGCAAGCGCGCGTCCCCCTGGTAAGATTTCACTTTTTAAAATTATCAAACAAAAATTCCACTTAATTCACGCGTTATCTTTCACATACACGTGTGCATACCAGATGTTGTTTTGAATTGAGTATAAAATGGGGGCTTCAAATTAATTCTCTGTAGTTGGTGAAAATACAGTGCGATCGCTTCTATTCAAAATAATAATCCAATTCTGGAATAATGAAATACTTTTTCGTTGTCATTTTTCAAACATTTTTTGTGTTTGACGAGGTAAACAAATATTATTATTTCTTTCGATTTTTATTTCAATACAAATAATTCAGAATTATTGTCTATTTTTTAATTGTTTTTTCTTCGTTACTCAAAACTAGAATATGTTTTTTTTTTTAATTTCCTTCATTTATCTCGTTTATTCTATTTTTTAATGAAGATTTGCGGAGAAGTCACTCACGGTACATTTGTCTCTAAATTCCATTCCAAAGCTTGGATAACAGACAAAAAAACAAAAGACTGGACAAAAGAGTTGAAACCACTGTTCACACTATGGCAAGACATTAAAGAACCCCAAATTGAGGAAGCATTAAACTCATTAATCATAATTAACGTCGAATTTCATGTGAATCAACTCGGTCAGTCTCTTTCTGTGGATGATCGTACTACGATTTTCTCAGATACACAGGATATTTTAAGCAAACAACCGGAAGTTCACAACTTATGCAACAGTATTGGTAGTCAACTCAGAATGGGTTCAACTGTTAAACAGTCCATCGAATCTGAATCCAAATATATGAATTGGTGTGATAAAAAAATTGAAAATTCACATTTGACAAAAGTCACTAAAAACTTGAATGATATGAAAAAAATTCATAAGCATTTACTAAGTTTAATCAAAATTGAATTTTCAAAGATTAAGCCAACGAAAGCAGCCTTTAAGAAGGAAATTGAAGAATTTCTCGGAACTTGTATCAAAACAGAGACATTCAGAAATACCCAATCTCATGTAATATATATGTCATTGGAAGGCAAGTTAAATCATATAAAAAAAATTCAAACAGAGCTATGGCAAACTTTGAAAATAATTGAGAGTATATTAAATGAATATCAGAAACAACGTAAGATATGGGTCAATTTCCTTATGGCATTAAGAGATACAATTGAACCCTGTACATTACACAGTTATTTGTAATTACACAGTTTAATCAACTTTAATCAACTCATAATTGAATCTGGATCAGGAGCATCATCAGGACAGAAGAGAGAACGAGTTGCTTCAAGACCCAATTTGACCAGAAAAAAATAAATTGAAATCACTTTCAGTTTTACAGATGTTATTATTTCAAATAATATTAATATTTATTTGTAATGTACATTCGACATTTTTCAAAGAATAAAATCTGTTTTAGAATGTTGTAAATCGAATCTGAAAGTTGTTTGAGAATATTTCTACCATTACCGATATTTTAACCATTTAAGCTAACTCTTATCTTTAGCTAAATCATTTAGCCTAAATGTATTTAATTTCATCTTTTAACGAATTGAATTGGATGGGAAAACCTACGGCATAGTTGTCGAAAGATTTCATTAGAGAGCTAAGGCGATTATTAAAAAGACAAAAGACTGGATAAAAGAGCTAAAACCACTATTCACACTTTGGCAAACCATTACACAACCGCAAATTGTAAGAACATTAAAGCTTATACAAAATGTTGATCGAGACTTGAAGATGAGCATGAAAACAACGCACCAAAAATTGAATAGTAAATTTGAAGAATTCAATCAGATATAGTTTAAAAAAGAATCTTTTGTCATGGTAACAAAGTTACTTGTTCAACCATTTAACGGTGCAATGAGAAATCCAGAAGGCAACCTAAATAATTTAAAAGCTAAAATAATGAATTACAAAGCATCGCAAGCCTCTATATGGCCATCTTAAAGCGGCTGAAAAAGCTTCGCAGGAATACTCACAACATCGCAATATTATATGGACAGCTCTTCTAATGGGACTGAGAACAAGTAGCCAACTCCTTGGACTTGAAATAGTTAAGAGCTTTTAAGAAACGAAAAAAAAAACACAACATTCAAGAAAATAAAATAAAAACCAAATTACAAATTGAAATTGTTTGTCTTTAACGTAAAATAAATTTTGTGAATTCTCATATAATTTGGTGCTTTTTTCACCTTGAAATTCAAGATTTGAATTTTCAAATTCACGTTCACTCGTTTGTTTTTCTTTCTGTTCCATTGTACATCTTGTATTTGCAAATTGCATGTCTTGTATTCCTAAACAACAACATATTGTGAAATGGAAACGACGACGTATCATTTCACCAATAATTTTACTTCAAAAACAGAAGTAACGATTCTGATTTTGGAATGTCTTGAAAATCATGAGTCGGAAAATCACAAATTAGATTTGATTGTAACTAGATGTAGTGTTTATGATTTCGGTGGTTGTGTTGGATTGTAATTCTTTGGGAAATAGGAATGTTATTGAATCCCCTTTTCCATTGTTCGTTGGGCGTGTGCGAATGGCGGACTTACAAATTGCAAATGTAATACATATTCGTTCGGTATTGTTTAACTCTTAGTCAAACGGCAAGTGTCCGTTTGTTGTGTGAATAGAATCGAACGCAGTCAGTCTCACCCCTTGCTTGTAAAAAAATCTCCCCTGTACCACTGTCATCACACCACACTCCACACAATCATTGGCAGCAGCAGCAACAGCAGCAGCAACAGCGGAATACAATTGTCAAAGAAAACAACAACTAACAAAATTCAAAGTGAATAATCATAATAAATGCAATACAAGCAATAACAATAAAATACAAATAATAATAATAATGATGATAACAACAAAGTCGAGCACAAAAATCGAATGGAAGAAAGAGAGAAGGTCGAACGAATAAAATTGAGCGTAACTTTGATACAATATGTTCGTTGTTTTCCTTGTTTTCATTGCGAATATTTGCACCCTCTCGGATACATCAAACGATGATGTGTCTTCGGCATCGTCTGACGGGGCGACGCCGTCATTGTCGTTGTCGGGGCAAATGATAAAGTTTATAAACTCCCGCTTCACAAGCGACAAATGAACTCGATAATTGCATTTCAACAAATTTAAATGAATTGTTACGTTAATTTAATCGTACAGTAACACAAAAAATAACAATAGTGCGCCTTTGCGCCCTCTTTTTTTCATTCTATATTTTTTGTTACCGATCGAAATAGACTAAGAGAATAGAATAGACCGAGAATACAATTGCGATTTGACATGATTTTTTCTTTGGACAATGTACAAACACAAAAACTAATTTTGCTTCCAATTAACACCTTTAAATTGATGAAAATGTTACAACCATTTGATTGATGACATTCGAAAAGATAAATTCATTTGTTGGTACACAACATATTGCCGATTAATTGGATGCGATCGTTGTATGCAAATGAAATGGCATCGATTCAATTAAATTGCTTGAATTTTGACGAATTTCGAATAGAACCGAACGAAATTGTGCTGGACGAATGAAAGATTTTGTTGCATTAATTCTACAATTGTTTGCAATTTTACTTTTTCGATTAAGCATCTAATCGTAAATAGCATCTAATCAAGGCAAACACTGCAAAATGGCTTATGTTTTTGTGTGTGCTAATGCACACAATAGAGCTGGGATTAGATAGAAAATTACATTATTTGAACGGCGAATTGTTCTGTCAAAACTGGTGCTATGCACCCATTTTCTGGCTATACTAATCTGAAATGCTCTCGCATGGTAAGGCATGCCATGCATACAGCATGAGTTGCAAATTATTGCTAACTACATGTGACATGTGTCAAAAGCATGAATACTATTTGCTGCTATTTCTCTCAATTTCTCTTCAACACTCTGTCAATAATGATGATTATTCTTATTGCCTCTATAAACTGAACACTTTTCATGGGTATGCGAAATTATTTCCTCTCATTGTAGTGGCACCGTGAATGTAGTAAGAATGATACGAAGTATACGTCAATTACTAATTCGCATAATAATCAGTAATTCCGCTATAAGTCTCACCAACTATGTAACTTAAGTACGCCACATAAAATCCCGAAAATGTAATAAGTTTAGTTGTACAAACATACACGGTATTACATGTTGTGGCGAAATTACACGCTTCGGAGTTACTTTAAGTGTCATCGCATATTTTTATAGGGATTCCAGAAGTTGACAACATCATCAACATCATTGACGAATAAAAAAGAAACAAAGTGCGAAACATAACAAGTTAAGTGGAAATCTATGGATGTATTTCTTTTTTCCTAAAGCAACCAATCAAATGACAACACAATTTATATGGAACAATTTTCTACACGCTCATGCAAACTTTCAAATTCGAGCTAGAAAAACTTTTACCATCGCATAAACATATCATCAAAAGTTTTTCGGTCGTCGGTACACAAAAACTAGAAAATAAACATAAAAACAACATGATTACTGAACTATTTTGGATTGGGTTCAATAAAATGGGACACTTTACCAAATATATGCACTGAACATAAACACAATTATGGACACATTTTCGATAGCATTCTCTTAAATTAGAGAAATACTGATAAATCAAGTGATTGTAAAGGAAAGCTTATAAGTTTTAAGTGATTTTTTTTAAGTTCCCGTTCGAACAATCGGCGCCTTTTGAAAGGCGCACGCACCATTTCTGCGCCTTTTAATGAAATGACGAGAAAAAGGATAAACGAGCACATCGTATGATTCGTATATAAACAGCGTGTACGAAAAACAGCATAGTAGGCGCAGATTCGTTACATTTTTGGTATTTTTTGTTCCTCTTTGTGCGGATCTTCGCAGCACAATGGAGATTCAAACGAAGAAGAAGTATGGTCTTAGCATTTTAGCATAAGAAAAATCGAATGAAATACGAGTCATACGATGTGTTGCTTATTCTTTTTCTCGTCATTTCATTAAAAGGCGCAGAAATGGTGCGTGCGCCTTTCAAAAGGCGCCAATTGTTCGAACGGGTTGGAAACAATCCGAACATAACAGAAAATAGAAATCAAATCAAAGGACATAAAACGGATAAAAGATGGATTGAGTGAGTGTGAGCGCAAACAATTATAATGATGAGAATTGTAATAAATAAATCAAATAGTTCCAGTTTAACTAGCCATTTCTGTATTTAAATATTTCTTTTTGTTTTTCATTTTTTCTAAAGAAATTATAAATGCGGTCGACCATTTACATCTGACCAGTGAGTAATTCAAATTGAGTAATTTTCTTCAAATGATGGTCTCAATTCAATAACCACTGATTTTCCTATGGAAAAAGTGTGTCATGTAAACTAAGTCGTTCGTCACCGATCAAATCCAAATCTTTATCGATTCCATGGGAAAAAAGCGAAAAAAAAACTTCAGCAGAAAAAAAAGAGAAGAAATAATATCCTTACACAATGTTGTGTTCAAACAAGACTGTGTAATTTTTGTGATTTATATTTATTTACACCTGAGTTCTCTCAATTCAATATGGTGCGTGCATGAACGGTGAAACAAAGGAGCCGGAAATTCGGTGTGCTGAAGCGAGGTGCAATTTGGATTGGAGAGCATTGTCTCAAATGTGTCATCATCGTCGCACTTTGTATAATTTTTTTCATCTTCTTCTTCATCTCTAAACTCCTGTTCGTTCTTGCTATCTCTCTTTCGCCACATTTTCGGGCCTAATCAAATCGCTTGTGTATGTGCTGTCGAGTTACGCGATCATGGCATTGTTTTGTTCGGTTTATCCATGTTGTGTGTTTGTCGTCGTGACTGCTCGAGATGTAATGCATAATTACCATATCCCCGGTTCTTTTGTTTTGTTCTTTGGCTCGGTTATGTTGTCACATACCATTTCAGACTTCGAAAGGCCCTTTTCTCCAGTCAGTTCATTTGTGTGTGCGCATGTGACGATCGGTGCAAGAGAGTTCCGTTTGCCATTCTTTAAATGGTTATCATTGTACTTTATTATGTGCGGTTTTATAGTTGTTTGGCAAAAGAAGCGGCATTCCTTTATCATCATCCCGCCGTAGAAAAGCGTGTAGTTAGTATATGGCCATATGGTTGTAGTCATTGCCATTTTCCATTGCCCATGGCATGTGTGTTACAATCGACACTAACAATTGATTCGCTTTCTTTCACGATGGTGTTGAGTGTGGTGTTACATTGCAAATGTGCATTTGCCGTACACGTTTGTTTATTATTATTGATATGCGCGTTCGCTCACGCGCGCCTGCACACACTCACACACATGCTCATCACAATGGCCTTCAATGTGTTCTCAAAGTACTTGAGTCATCCTCATCGATATCTGTTGATTTTCTCAGCTATCGCTCTCTCTACATCTCTATCCCTCACTCAATCGTGCCTTCCTTCTCTCTTTTCGCTCAATTTG